CCAGGAATGCAATTTATTATCGTTAAATGAAGCTTTTTGTGAAGTAAGCTAGCTCGGTTGATCATGTCTATTCCTTAGATTACTTCAAATTTCATCTAATTTTAAACCTTTTTATGATTCAAGTTTGTTTTCAAATATAGTTATCGTAGTTATTGAGGCTTGTTTTTTTACCGCTTCTACGATTCGTTTGTTCACTTGTTAACATATCTTTGTATTTAATATAAATAGTTGTGCTTATATTAATTTTTTTACTATGATTCGATTGAAAAAGAAAGTAATGTTGTAATTATACATTTTTATTAATCTTTTACTTTTGTATCTAATATTGTTGGTAAATGTGAGCAAAAAACGATAGTACATAAATAAATTGTACTAATTAAAGTGAACGATTATGTTTATTCAAATTTTTTAAATTTTATTCTCGATTTGCAGAATAACGAAGAGTAGTTTCTGTTAGCAATGCTACATGTATTTAATGGCCCTATTGAGCCAACATCGTTAGCTGAATTTCAAGAATCAAAAAAGAAGGCAACATTATTCACGTGTAAAAATAATGTAAGAATTTCTAATTTCTATTGTGCCTCAATTATTATCAATTTAACATCTTGTAAAGTATTTGTTTAATTGTTTGCGTTTTTATTATTATTGTTAATTTTTGCCACCGTTTTAGATTTGCTTATTTGTTGAATTTTGTTATTTTTTATTTTACTGTTCAAAAAATAAGTTTGTTAGCAGAAAATTGAAAGTACAGTGATAGAACGGTCCAACTGTATTTGTTAAGTACATACTCATTATTATTTTTTTAATATCATCATTATTATAAATAATGTTAAGGTCATGTTCATAGCGGTGATATTAGAAATTATTTTACTTGAACTTGTTAAATGGACTAAATGATCTATGTGTTAAATTGAAGATTTGTATCATTTCATTTTCTTCCGTCTGTCTGTTATGAGAAGACAGTGCATCTTCCTTTCTCTTCAACTTTTGTCCAAATGACTAATAAAGTTACAAAAGTTCAATTTTTGGGTAATTCAGAAAACACAGATATCGTTTATGGAGTTAACTTTTCAAATAATGAAGTTTGGTTAATGAAAATTGATTCTCGTCTGCAATTAATGAGATGAGTAAATGAAACAGATGCATTTGTGAACATAGAAGAGGTAACGATTTTTAGGAATATTTATTAAGATTGAAAACCATCTGGATTCTTTCATAGATTTTGTAGTAAGATGTGATTCTGAATCTGAAAGATATTTTTGACCTGAGTAGTGATAGAAAGACCTATGTATTGGTAACACAGTGTTCTGTGTCGTTTCTGAGTAATTTCGTCCAAAGTTTTTCAAAAAACTTGGAAATTTTTATCATTGTTTGGTAGAAATTTATGAAAAAAAAATGGGACGAAGGAATTTTCTGTTGGAATTAACAAAATTATTTGTTAGACTGTTTTAGAATTTGTTTTGGAAGCATACGAGATCTGTAGCTGTAAGGGTTTTGAATTCTATCATGAAAAGCACATCAATTCTTAGATATTTTTTTGACAGACAGTTCTTGCTTCAAAAGAGTCATTTTTCAAGTTACACTTGTAGCTATATTTATAACTCGTTCATCACTGCTATATTATTGAAATTTTCAAATTCAGAAACAAAGCGTGATAAAAACCAAAATATAGATATATTGATATTATTACAATCAAGCTATCAAATATCATATCAATATCATATCACAATTAAGTCATATTTTTTTCAATTACAAATCAGCTTTTGCATTTTTTTAGAAACGAAAAGTTGATTATCTCAAAGATGGGCGACGTTTTATCGATGGTAAGATTGAGAATAAACAAAGTGCGTCGTCACTTTGGTCTACCGTCTTGGCACGATCAGTTGCGCAGGATTTGAAAGCTCGATCACAGAAAGATTTAAATTCAAATAATCTTGGATATATGCGACAATATAGTTAGTCCTTTTCATTCTATAAGCAAATATCATATGTGTTTATTCAGACGTAAGTCAGACGTGCAAAAATATGATTTTAATAAAAAATAAAAAACTGCTCAGTATTTATTTTTTTTAAAATTTATCTCAAAATGATCATATTTTCAGTGCATTATTTATCACAAAAACTAACGCAACAACGAAACATACGAATAATGTGTACTCTAATTGCAGTGAATATCATATTGATTGTATTTTTTATGTATTTTTTCGTTTTATAAATTCTTTTTCTACAGTAATACTAAATTGTTGACTAGCTCTGTTTGATAATATCTAATTTAATTAACATTCGTTAAATAATAAAAGTTCACGCAATAACAATTTTTGATTAATTTTTATAATTCAATTTATTTTTCATAAAATTTATTTAAAGGAAAAAAATCATGAAATTCAAATTGTCTTGATTGCAATTTTCGTGAATTAAAGAAGGAAATTAGTTAGATGATTCACATCATGCATTTTTTGTATAATACATTAATTTTTTGTATAATACATTATGAAAGGAAGTTTTAAAATATTTGACACTTGAAGTAATTTAACTTTGTGTAAATAATTATCACAGCTGTCACATTGAATTTGATCAAACATAACTTTTTTTGCCTGTTTGCTTTGTTATCTAGAAGTTTATTCAAGTTGAACGTACTTACCCTCGTTTAATTCAGTATTAAAAGTTCACATATTTTTACAATAAATTAAACTTCTCATAAAAATTTTTCATTATCGATAGAAATAGTTATTAAAATGTGAGAGAGGTCATTTTCACACACGTTTATACATTTTCACACACGTGTATTGTGAAAATATTGGCAAAAGATTACAATACAAAATTTGAACAAACTGTTCTTTCATTGCTATTTAAGCATTTGATATATTAAAAGACAGATTAATAAATTTATAAGCAAAGTATGACGTGTTTTATTCAAAAAGCACAAAAAACTGGTACATATAATTGAAATTATTACACGTACTAAGTGAAATGACTTCAAATATGCAGTTTAAATCTATGCTGAAAGTGCGAATGATTAAGCATTGTAAAAATGAACGTAAATAAATACTGGTAGTCAGAAAGAGATAATAATTTTGTATAATAATTACGTGTCAGAATTACGCTTGAAGACTTAGACACAACTTTAGCCTTGTTTACAGATTACATTATCGCTCATTCTTTGTATCACTTTTACAGCTTCACTTAATTGAGACGAAGTGTATCATAACATAATAGTAAATGATACATTTGTAATATGCGTTAATTTGAGATACCCTTGCAATATTTACGCTAAAAATTATCAAATTAGTGAAAAAAGAACAAAAAACTGTTAGAATTGCTGAATTAGCGAATATGGAGAATTGTAATGCGAAAGAATTACTTAAACACATTTTTCTTCTTGGATATAAAGTATATACTGAAGTATCAGCCAAAAGTAGACTTTCTTTATATAACGTATATAACCAACATGTTATATGGAATGTTTCTAGAAAAACTGATAATGATTCCATTAATAATATATTTGAAGAACTTTACTCTAGCAATAATCTTTTTTATCGGAGTGAAACGAATAGTTGCAGACTGCATTATATTTTGGTTTTGAATAATTGTCGTACTAGAATAGTTTTGACTTTAGACCAAGTGATGTAGTTTGGTATTGTTTTTTAGGCTTGTGTATTTTAAAATGTATGGAAGTAACTGAGATTTATCTGATAATCTCAGAAGGTATTAATTTTCATGAAAAGTGGTATTTGCAGATGTTTGCCAGAACACTGCTGCAAGCTTTACAACTAGCCAGAACATCACTACATTATTTGCGACTTTCAACATTTTCTAATGAAATTTTGGCCATCAAAGTTAGTTTGCACAATTTTAAATACATAAGTGGACATCATGTTTTGTTGTATAGCACTTCTTTGCACGCTACGTCATTCAGTTAATAATGTATTTGCAGTTGATTCAAGAAGCAACAAAACGAAAGTTTGGTAATTACAAAAGAGCAAGAAACATTTTGTTAGCAGTTAAGCAAAAAAGCAACAAATATCTCACAATCACCATTGGTGGAGCAAGTAAGAAAATGATTTGATTGCAAGATTATTAATCCATTACTTTGATCAGTTATCGTTTTATAAATATTCATTTTGGTTGCTCTTTTTTTCAACAAACTTTTAGGTCTTGCAATTGTACCATTTATAAAGAAAAAAGCAGATAATGATGACTCGAAGCAAAATGCAAAACTGGAACGTTTCAAGCAGGAAGCAGATACGTTATATGATGTTTATTTGATAGAAAATGCATACAATGTGTTAAGAAGGTTGTGTTATTAATGTTGTCACATTTTATCATTCACTTTTCAAATAGGACTTAAAATGACAATAAAGTTGCTCTTGGTAAACAGCATATATTTCAGATTTTCGTCAGGTAATGATCCTCAGATGCTTTGGCGACTAGCTCGTATATTAGTTGAAAAAGCCAAAATGTCAAAGGTTAATTTTTATAATGCTTTTACCGTTTAAATCATTGATTTCAATCAATTGCACAACTATTCTTAATTTAAATCACGGTTATAAATTACTTACATTTTCTCTGTGTAGCAAGATTTTATTTTTGTGTTCTTGCTCTGGTGCAGGATAAAAATGACAGGAAGCGCTTTATGTATGATGCTTTGAAAATGGCTGAGAAAGCATTGGATAATGAAGGTGAAGACGCTTGCTGGCAAGCACATAAATGGTTAATATTTTTTGTTTTTTTAAATATTATATTTTTTGGTATTTTAAAATATTCTTGCAAAACTTCAAAGTACATTTTAGGTATGCAATTGTGCTAAGTTATGTGTCAGAGTATGAAGGCTATACAGAACAGCTTCGACACTCCTATGAAGTTAGACGACATCTCGAAAAGGCACTTGACATCAATTCTGCTGATGCAACTACTTGGCATGCTTTAGGTTGCAACATAATTGACACTTTTCGTCAATTAGCTTACATTGTATACAGTGATTGTTCTCGTCTTCTTAATCGTAATGATCTTATTGTAGGTGTTTGGTATTTTACATTTGCGGATTTGTCGTCATGGAAAGCTTTGTGTATTAGAGTTATGTCAGGATCACTTCCAGCAGCTACATATGAAGATGCTTTGAAATGTTTTCAAAAAGCGGAGTTTATCAAGGTCGCTCTTTATTTGTTTATAGACTTGCGATTTTTTTTACTGTGAAGTGATTTACTTTTGAATTAGATGATTTTAACCATGTGAAATCAAAGCCTCACTTTTATAGCCTAATTTCTATTCTTCAAATCTGTGGTATCTGGCAGAAGTGAAATCTAGACTTGGTCAGAAGGAAGAAGCTTTTGAACTTTACAAAGCTGCATTTAAGATGCCAGTAATTACAATGGACGATGGTGATACGCACGATAAGGTTAAATATGTGAATTTTTTAATACGGTTAAGGAAATTTATCTTTACATTCTTCTGCCATTTCATATTTTTAGGCATACGATAGATTGCGGAAGTTGGGCGTGAAAGATTTTACTAGTATCTAGCAAGGACAATTTGTTTTGCAAGAAGTTTAAGCTCTCATTTTTTTAGTAACTGTAATTGAACTTGCCAAAATGCCAAAGGTTAATTTTAATTAATTTTTATTGGAAAATAATGGCAATTTTGTTCTCTTAAGAACTGATAACTTTTACCCAAACAATAAATAATATCACGTGTTAACTTATAGTAAGTATTGTTCTTGAAATCATTTAGACTTAAATCTCTTTTCATTTGCTTCAATGAAGTATGAAATCCTCTACTTTTATAGGCTGTTCTGGCGCAGTTAAACACAAATAAATCAGTTTGATCGATATCAGTAAGTAAAACTGTAAAATTGTTTTGTTTCTAAATTTTGTCAATATGTTAAGTTGTCGCTTTCTTTTCCAGCGCTTTTTTAATATCTTTATTAGAATTACTTTCCTATCGCGGGTTTATGTATTTGCGCTGTATAAAATGGCTTTGTTTTGTGAGTAGCAGCGTTGAACGCACGAGCTGAAATATTTTACAGTTTTCGTAACCGTTCTGTGAAATTAATTCTAGAGGCTACTACTATGTAAATAACGATTTGTGTTGCATATATCAGCTTCTGATCTTAAACTCGCGTGCTAAAAATTTCATTTAGATTGATTTGATGCATAAAAATTGTGAGTTCATTGTGAACCTTGTTGTTTTTTAAATAAGCAATTTATGTAAGCAAAAAACTATGTATAATTGATCTATTCCCCACTAAACTGAAATTTTCTGCTAACCTGAACCTAACTTTCTGTCAAATGCTCCTCAGCATTCCGGATAACTATCTACTCCTGACCTTTAAAAGGGGATAGATCTGTTATTTAAATGTATATATAAGAATTTGGCAATATTTTGCTGGTTAACAAGGTCTATTTGATAAACTAAAAAACGCATTATCATATAGTTGTTGCTTACTGTTCAAAAAACTGAAAAGTTGCGACAGATAATGCTGAATCGTTAGCCTTGCCATTTCCGTTCAATATGAATTTCATGTGATCCATCCTAATTTCTGTTCATAAGTTACAATAAGACTGGGTGCTATTTTAAAACACATGCGAATCAGAATTAAAAATTTGCATCTAAGGCAATCAGTTGAATAGCTTTGAGAACATTAGACTAGTTATTCACGTAGTTTCACTCGAATAAAACCCAACGCAAATAAGATTGAAGATTATCAAGTGCAGATCACAATCAGGAGTGTTTTGTTAAGATCTATCATTAGATGGTCAAATGAAAAATTAATTTTTAGTTTTATTATCTTTCATTCTGATCTCATACTTCCAAACAATATTCAATACCAGTACAGAAAAGTCTTCCAATAAAATTTGTCACTGAGACATCATGAAAGCACTAAACCGTCAAATAAAGGAATCTATATATTATTGTGAATATCTTTTGTCTCGTAGATTAGAATGAAAAAAGCAGATGATACGAGATAGTGAACTTTCGTCTAAAATCACACTTAATTTGTTATCTTTTCTGAATTTTTATTAGAAACATAATCACTAGAGAACTAAACATCAGAAGTCTGGAACTCCCTGCAATTATGCAAATTTTAACAAAATTTATGAAACATTAACCCGTCGAATATGATCCAAATAATTTCTGAAGGAAAGTGAAACAATTACTTTTGAAATACTTCAATAAGATAGTCCTGCTTTCTATCAAAAGCACACGTTTCTGCATATAAAGTGTCCATGGTTGACGTGTCTATTCAAAAGAGAAGAATAAAAATGGGTAAAGTTACTCAGGTGAATAATGCAATAGAGCCATCAGCTTGAGCAGTGATAAGCCATGGTTGAGAAGGATGAAAAACTACAGATAGAATCGATAGACTGTTTTTATGCGTGGTTCGAACACGCAGTCTACGTACTGGCACGAATTCATTTTCTTTGAAGGGATCACTACTAATTCTAGCATAGTAAATAACTGCTGTTGAATCGTCTGATACAGTTGCTAACAACGGATACCTGTAAGATCCGAAGTTGAAAACATAGGAAAGCTGTATAGTATTCTTTAGAAAGCAAACAGATAATAGGTACTAGTGAATATAAAAAATGAGGTCTGAATTGTAAATGAAATAAGCTCCTACACTATATAATACAGACATCGCAGCGGAAATACTCCACTATGATATCTGTACTACATAGTGTAGAAGCTAATTTCACTCAAGCACTTGAAAAATGATAAATACAGAAACCTTGGATGTTGAGCAATTGCACGAATAGCAGCTGAATGGTGTTTAACGGTTTTCCACGGTTTACTACTCAGTTGCAAGTCGATCCATGAGAACGTCCTATCGTGACCGCCAACAAATACATTTTCTCCTTGAAAGTCAATGTGCATGGAGCTCACCCATTGTGAACCCGTCATAATCTTTTTTTTAAGTTGACACTTGGCTAAATCGTAGATACGAATATGCCGCTGCGTTCCAACAAACAAGAATGGCTTTTGTGGATGAAATGATAAAGCCGTCATTATGCCTTTTAGACGAGAAAAAGGCCTCTGCAAATAACGAAAAAGTCATGATACAAAATCATGATATGGAAAATTGTTTTTTCAAGCTTTTGAAAATTTATGAAATACAGCAACAATTCTTTACTTTTGGAAATTACCTGAGACATGCATTTAGAAAGCTGATGTATAAAAATAAGTTTTGGTGATTTTGAAACTGCAAACGTAGCAAAATAATCTCCTTTATGATGCCATACTACTTGACGAGCCACCTAAAAATCAATCCATCTTAACAAATATTTTTTTTTTTAGAAATTATTTATTTCCTTTACAAAAAAAGTAATATTATTTGAAAAAAATCAACAACAGACATGTCCAATATCGACTGATATCCTATCTTTTCCCTCATGTTTCCATTTTAGTCCATTATTTCCAGATAAATCAGGATTAAGTGATGATAAATATTCTGTTGTAGATGAAATACGATGACGATCTCCACAGTGAGAATTCATTAATATCATTTTATTTGATTCCATAGTTACAGCCAAAAGAGTCCATTTCATAAGAGGGCAATATGCTACGCTTGTTACAGGACCTTCCAAGCTCGTTGTCTGCAATAGAAAAAATTTTGAAAATATTTAATAAAAATGCTGCCTGTAAAAGTCTACTACATCTGATTTCAAAACAGAAGTAAAAACTATAAAAAATACTAATTTATTTGAAATTTAGTCAAATGCACCTGCATAGTATTTATTAAATGCATCTGTAATACATTAGTCTTGATGTCATCTTTCGATTAAAAAAATAAATAAGAATTTAAAATTCATATTGAACTCCGTACTTTTAGACATCTTCCATCACATACAGACCAAATTCTGAGAGTTGAATCTTCACCTCCTGATGCGAATATCTCTGTTGATTCATATTCGAATGATATACTTCTCACTTGTCCAATATGACCATACATATACTAAATAAATAATGACCAAATATATATTAAAAAATGTTCCAACAAATTAGAAGATTGACTGCAAACATTAGACAGAACCATATTACATACAAAACTGAGCACTGTAGGGAAAGGATGCATATCCGCCAGATTAGGAAGTTCCGGAAGCAGCTGCGCAGGGTCAACATTCAGCTGAAAAATCACAGTGTAAAAAAAAAGGAATATTGACATAAAGTCCTGATTTAGTGAAGAGTCATCCATTAAAAACGGGTAGTTAAAGAAACCTTCATCTTTCTTTGTCGAGGAGCCAAATATAAGTCAAGGCAACGCTGATACCGATCATTATAAAACCTATCATAAGCTGGAACTTTCCGCAAACAATCGAATTTCTTGGGAATAAAATCTAATCGACGATCTTCTGGTTCAGTTTCCTATACTCAAGAAAACACATGACTCTTTAAAATTTAAAACGACACACAATAAAATCAGACAAAAATAATATAGTAAAATATTTCAAAGACATTTTGTCTAGAAACTAACTTCCCATTTCTTCTGTTCTTCTTCATCAAACAAGTACTCTTCAGGAGGATTATAACTTTCAGCATGCCCAGGTAATGCAACTTTTGGTGCAGGAAAATGCATTTTTATTCTAGCCAATTCACTTTTAGTTTTCTGCTTTGATGGTTCGTCTGCCCAAAGGTCATAAATCTATAACAAACAAAAAGTAAAATTTCTTCTATACAAAAAGTACTAAAACTTTGCCAGTACATAAAAATGTTAATTATTACTAATCATAATATTTAAATCTATACCACTTTCTTGGCGTTTTTCGGCTTTGGTGGTCGAACCCAACCCATTTTGATAGCATGAATCATCTTTCCTGAAAACCAGCATCAAAATCATCCACAGAAATTTTGAGAAACAATTCCATGTAATGAGTTTGAAATAATCTATAAAACAAACCAACAATACGCCTTTCATGTATTGATGGTATGAATGAAGATTTGGAATCTGGTCGATTTGATATCGGATGAATTTCTGTTTGGGATGAGAAAATATCCAGAAATGGTTGATATGGGTTATACCCTATTGTTGGATATTTAGACGCATTTAAAGCATTAAGTTGTTCCACTTGTTCATCACTTAGAGTCACAAAACCACCACTTTGTTGATCATAAACTTTTCGCCTAAAATTCAATTTTCAGTTTTTTAATGACATAACCATGCGTATAACATTTTTAATAAATAAATGAAAAGCTTATTTCAAAGATAAGTAAATATACTATATAAAGACAATGAAAACTATATTAGATATCAGATATGCACTCATTCGTTATCCAATATGAACTATTTTTCAATGTAAGAATTTGCTATACTCAACTAGATAATAAGCTTCAAAGTACTTCTAATAACTACTTTATGAAAATCTAACCAGTAATTTGGATCATCCATTCGATCAAGAAATTCCTCAATTTCATCTTTTTTCTTGGCAGATTTGATTGGATTTCCATCTTTGTCATATCCAAAATGATCCAAACCATCATACCATGCAACCGGAATATTACCAATAGTATTTCTCAGATCCTTCAACATCCAATGCTTTCACTTTCACATTTAATTTAAAAATAAAAAATTTATATGAAAAGATAAAAAAGACTAAAGTATAAAAAGATCCCCGCATAAAAAACTAAACTGCTCAAAAAATATGACAAGCACCAAACCTCTTCGTCGCTTGAATCATAATAATCGGCTACTTGTCTGACTTCCTTCTCTTCTTGTAAATTACTCGCACGTTTGTAAACCATTTCGATAATATTACTTTAATTTAAAATTGCTTCAATTTTCTAATACATGCTCGCTAATTGTCTGGTATAAAATGGCTCGGGTCAAAATTACTAGGCGAAAGGGCAAAATGTCACAAACGTTTCGGCATATACCTCCATCATTTGGTGTAGTGGCGAAAAGCATTCTAGTGTACATTCTTTGTTTTTTTATTGAAAAGTTTCATTTTTGAAAGTAAATTTTCAATTTTTTCTGTAAAAATCTCTGAGTTTTGCCGGTAGAATTTTCTAATTTTTGCTAAAATTTTCTCACTTTTTTCATCAATAATTTTTCACTTTTTTTATAAAAAAATTTTCTAATTTTTTTGTAAAAATTATTTTTGAGTAAAAGTTTTTTAATTTAAAACAGTTTATCTGACAAATTTTTAATATTAATTTGAAAAGTGAATAAATAGAGAAAAATGTAAAATTAAATAAAATTATATACTTATTTTGATATTATGTTGAATAAACAAGAAGTGTTTCTTTGCTTATTAAATTTAAACAGCTGAAAACATTAAATGCAATTATTATATCAGAAGGAGCAGACTAATTAGACTTATTACTCTAATTAATTACGGTAATGAATTCAATTAATGTTTACTTCATTTTATTTTCATATTTCAAGAATAAATGGCAAAAAGCACTTTATTAGAGCGGTTAGATGCACTCCATGAGAAACTGGTAGCAGTTGGAGCTGACTTAGAATCTGTCAAAGAAGGCAATGAAAAAAATGTGAATATTTGTACAACGAGGCCAAAAATTAGTTAGTTAGATTTAAATGTTTTAATTTTCTGTTTGTTTATCTGTAAATATTTCATTACTTGTAGTACTTTTGATTTTACTTTATTAAGTCAGTAATTGCTTATTCTACAATAATGTGGATTGTTTTCATTATTGTAGGTGTGATGAGTGCTGAAGTTAATGATTCTAATCCGTATAGTCGATTAATGGCTTTGAAAAAAATGGGTATTGTTAAAAATTACGATGATATTCAAAAAAAAACTGTGCTAATAGTTGGTGTTGGTGGTATTGGAAGTGTTGTTGCCGAAATGTTGACAAGATGTGGTATTGGAAAGCTTATATTATTTGATTATGACAAGGTATCCATTTCATGTTTTAAAAAGATTGAGCATTGACAAAAATTTTCATTTTACTGGCTTTTGGGTATTTGAAAATATTTATGTCTGATACCAAAAATCTATATGCTATTGGAAGATTTTCGAATGATATCGCAATATCATATAACTTGTAAACAGACATGTTTGAGGGATAAAAAAATGTCTTAATGGAATTTCAATATCATTCAAAATCAAAAAAAGATTTTTTTATCTCAGGAATTTACGAATTTAATGAATTTCAGGTCGAGCTGGCTAATATGAATCGTCTGTTTTATCAACCACAACATTCCGGCATGTCTAAAGTAGACGCAGCTCGAAACACATTAATGTAATTTTATGATCAGAAACGTTAAGATGAGCGTTTTATAAATTAAGATCACCGTCACTACTCTTTGTTACTGACTTTTGTATTTATTGCAGGTCGATCAATCCTGATGTCAGTTTTGAAACATATAATAGGAATATAACGACTTTAGAGAACTATCCTGTTTTTACTGATCGAATCAGGTTATTTCTACTTACTGTGAAAATCATAATATTAACATTCAGTCTGAAACAAAATCCATTGAAATCACTTGACTGGGCTAGCATATTTATTTCGGGTTTGCTTAAGTACTGCCGACATTTAAGCATAATTTTAGAAAAATTTTGCAGAAAAATAATACTGATCGATTGCAGTTAATTTAATGTATTTGCAGGAAGGGAAGTATTACTGGAGAAAAAGTTGAACTTGTTTTAAGTTGCGTGGATAATTTTGAAGCTAGAATGGCAATTAACACTGTACGTATGATGTTTTTAAGTCTAATAACGTGGCTTTTGTTTATACTCATGATATAATGTTTTTGTAGGCGTGTAATGAAGAGAATCAAATATGGATGGAATCTGGTGTGAGTGAGAATGCGATATCTGGCCATGTACAATATATGTATCCAGGACGTACTGCATGTTTTGCAGTAATATTTTTTCCTAAATAAGAATTTCTCAGGCAAACTTATGTATTTTGAAATTATAGTTTATGGCTCTGTATTTGTTTCATACATTTCATGTCAAGAATATTTGCAGTGTGTACCTCCTCTAGTTGTTGCCTCAAATATTGACGAACGTACACTAAAACGCGAAGGAGTATGTGCTGCGTCGTTACCTACCACTATGGCTATTATTGCTGGCTTCTTGGCACAAAATGCTTTGAAGTAAGCATATAAGTGCTGTGTCATAATTATAGTAATAAATGAATTATCATTGCAGGTTCCTTCTGTGTTTTGGTGAAGTTTCTGCCTGCTTAGGATATAATGCTCTCTGTGATTTTTTTCCCAGACATCAAATATTGCCTAATCCTAATTGTGATGATCGTTTTTGTCGGCTAAGACAAGAAGAATACAAGGTTTAATCACTATTTATGTTGTGTTTTCTAGCATTTTCCAAGAGTTGAAATGGAAAAACTTTGTTCTGTAAAGGTTGCAGTTGAAGAATTCCTTCAGCGCATTACAAATTAAAGCAATTTGCAGAAAATTGAAGGAGACAAAACACCTAAGTATCATGAAAGTGTCGACAAGGAGAAGATAGCACATGAAGATAACGACTGGGGTTACTGGTTTTTTTTTTTTTTTTAATTTGAGCAACTGCATCTAAAAATAATAAACAGCTCAATCATTACAGGAATTGAATTAGTGGATGAATCAAATGATGTCAGCAGTGAACGGCATGAAGGACCTGCTGAAGGGATACAATTTGCCTACGATAAAACCTCCGCTAAGACGGTATCCTCTCTTAACAACATAGGCAATACGTGATATATTTTTCGAGTAGTTACAGTTAACAAGCGTTATTTTACTTCACTGATTTCAGCATTAACACTAAAATGAACACTTTTGTAAATTAATTTCAGAATGAAGACATCAGAGAACAACCATGCGGAATGAAAAACTTATCAGCCTTGATGTCTGAGTTGAAAAGCTTATGATCAGTTACTACTTATTGTTAGTTGTTAACATATAAACGGGAACAGGGGAACAGGACTATTGTTTCATTTTATTGTTCAATATAGGTTAAATGAAAGCAGGCAAATCAATAAACATCATATCTTCTTTACACTGAAGAATAAGAAGCCAATTATGCTTTCAGGAAAAAAAATTAATTTCAACAAAATCTACTTCTTCATTACAGCCATTCAATCTGAATATTTCGTCATGGATTTTAAACTCAGTAAATTGCAATTCAAAAATAGACAACTTTTATTTCAGACATCCTTTCTAAACTTTAAATTTCAGATAATGAAGACGGGACAGAATATCAACAAAATTGAAGTTGAACAAAATATGGACGTAATATAAACATTCCCGAAAATGAACATTTAAGATAACGCCTCATTTAAAGGTCACATACATCACCGTAGCGCAGTATCCACTCAAAAATTATACATTTTTAAATGACCAAAAGGAGTTTGCTGCATAGCTATATTTCATACCCAGAATCATTTAGCAGCGGAATATCTTTAGATTCAGCTTCTAAGCAAAGGTATTCACCTAATAATGTACACAGAGCTGTACTCAGAAGTTGCAAAATCCACCATAAAATTTGTGTGGGGATCGATTTATGATACAGTACAACAGCAGTAAAGTGCCAAAAATGTAAAGTACACGCAAAATCCAAGCACTGTTTTGAGCGTCCAACAGCTTTATATAATATGAAAGAACAAACTGCAGATGAGAACAATTGAATAACTGTTCCATGAAGTGTAACCTAAACTGACGTGGTAAGTTCGGATGTTATAACGATGTGGTTTATGAGTGGTCTGAATTTTGGAATCTTAGAATGAGCGCTTTGGTTCATCCATGAAAGTGCCTCTTAAACTGGTTTTCAGTAAATCATTTGGATGGGATGAATTCCACAGTTCAACTTTACTCATAAATCATACTCTTCAAACCAATTTTCATAAACTTTGACTTTTGTAAATTTCAACTCTGGATGTCTAAAATAAGTTGTTAATTGGCTATTAGATGATCAGTATGGATGAAACTGCCTACCAAACTACCCGAAGAGTCGGAATTGCTTCTTTTTTTTCTCATAAAAAAATGCAGTGAGCTTAACATATAAACGTTTGATAAGCAACAGATGCGAATTACTAAATAGTGCGAACCTGCTTCAAGAATACATATTCTAGACTGGGATACCAGTTTTTATAAAAGGCCAGAAATATAAGTAAACAATAAGTCGTGTAGAATGCTGCCTGTATACACGTTATCTGCGCGATAATCAGTCCTGGATCCCAAACATATGATCGAAATGAGTTCATTTTCACTTCATCAACGTCAATGATGGAGTACACTAGCGTTTGCAATTGCTAGAAAGCATCTTTCTAATTTTTGTATTATTAATCACACGTTTGAGTCAATAAATCAATAATTCCTTTATCTTGACATACTAACCAAATCAACTGAAAGGGAAAGCAATTATACAGCTTATTAGCAAACAGAAAGTTAGATTCACCTGACTTTTTGCTTTAGTAAGATCTAATTCATTTACGCAGTAGGACTCTCAGGTATATATATGTTCTCATCTTTAATCCAAATACAACAAGTAACTTTGTGGCACAAACCTAAATTCTTATCAATAATGCAAAACAAAATATCATAAAAACTATTCTGAATACACTCACATTTGAATTGCACAAACAACACGGCTTAATCCTCATACGTCACGTGAATCATTCTTTTATCAATATTTGCAAAAAATTAGAGAAAAGTATATATATATATAAATCATTTGTAGCAATGAGATAGATTATTATGAACCTAAGATCAAATATAGAAACTTGTTGTATTAGAAGCTTTGTTCACTTTTTTTAAAACACATCATTCTATCAAAAGTAATATTTGAGAAGATATTTGGAATCAAAAATATGGCATTGCAATCAGATTAAAATCAAAAAGAGCATATAAGCAACGAAAATTTGCTACATTAAAATAATTTTCATTCAAATAAGTATGTCAAATCTGTCCATCAGATTCCGAAACAGATGTGTGGAACGATATATTACTCATGGTGGTATGTAGTGTGATCGATTGAAGTTAAAAAGAGATGGGTAGAGGTCGTTGTTGGTTTTTATTCTTTTGAAAGATACTGGGAATGGTTGTGCTTGAAGATGTTGGTTTCAGGATTTGTAGGTTCTTCATGATTTCAAGTTGACAGAAGTAAAAAAGTGCAAAAATAGATTTTCATTAATAATGTTAAAGTTATGAAATAATAATTTGGGATTGAAACTCTTTCATCACAGAGATTTATGAGCAATTCAGAAGATATAGGATTTTTGAAATATAAATAATTGTTTGATATATAAAAGTGTAACAAGCAGGGAAACGCTAGAAGTGAAAGAAGTAGAGAGATTTGTTAGTTTCTAAAGAATTGAAAAAAATATATCTTAAAGGTCAGCATTTACGTGTTAACGTGATATCTAATTTTACGATGTTTTAGTGTGGACTTTTTTGTTTTCAGGTTTTGTATGGATTGACGGGAGAACTTCTGCATTTTAGGAATCATTGAACAGGAATAAAGAGGTTCGTTATTTACATATAAATATGCTGATTTTGATGTTGTATAATAAACTTGTTTTTGTAGTCGTTCATTACATTGTATTGTTAGTAGCATTGCAGGTAGTTGTGCGTTTAATTGCCTCTTTTTGGCTTATTGATTACCTCAGAGATGTCGTACAGAAGACAAACGACGTCTGTCAGTGGGACGAGGCATCCAACAACACCAGAAGGATTACCAACTCAAGTTGGGGAGGTTATAGTTCTGCACCAATCATAGCTATGTGTCACTGCATTTATGCTCAACCACATGAGATATTTGTTTATTTTTTGCCCTAATTAGCATGAATTTAATACTCATTATCAATAGGTTGTAGCAATAACTACTGTTGTTCTTGATGCTGTCGAAAAAATAGTATGATTTAATGTGTTTGACTGAAAAAGAAAGAAGAAAAAATATCAAAGGTTTTGTCCAATGTTACGGAATCCGACTATTTTCTATCCAAACTTTTAAAACTAATGGAAAAACTCATGAAACTTGTTCCGAATTTATTTACTCATGATTAACAATGAACGAAATTGTGCAGTTTTACATGAGATCTTCGTTTATTTTTTTCTCCTCATTAGCATAAATTTAATACTCATTTGTGAATTGATTTTGTTATGCAGAAAGTTTATAAATATATCGGAACTGCTGCATTGCAGGAGGAGGATATGAATAGTACAAATGATTTGCAAACGTCTGCTGCTAGTAATCGAAGAAACGTTGCTCAAGAATCTAGTTATATATCGTCTCATGGCACAACTCTTTCTTTTGTTTCTGGACCAACTTTTACAGCTGGCTCAGTCACATCAGTAAACCTTCAGGGGACTCCTGCAACATATATACCCATACAGGTTGATTTCATTGAATTTTTTCTGATATTCAAACCACTTAGTACTAGCAGAGTTTTTTTATTCGAATTTTTCACTCTTCTATTGACTTCCGTTTTGCAGATAATTTATTTTCTTCAATTAATTCTGTAACTAGAAAGAATTATTCATTTTATCCGCCATTTAGAAATGTGCAGATAAAACTAAGCTATATTTCAGATTTATGAAGTCTAGAAAAGGATTTCAGGTTCCCGGGGTAATTGGAACGGCTTTCACACAAACCCCCGCTTTCGCTGCTCCACTAATCTATCCATCAACACTAACAACAGCATATATTAGTGGACCTCCCACTGCACCACCTGTTGCTCCGTGTACATTTCTGTCAGCTGCTGCACCGATCACAGCTATGTGTCACTGCATATATGCGCAACCATGTGCTCTTCATCATCGTCCTATCTCCTATGCTTCCCATTCTTTCTCTTCTATGGGTTAATTATATTGGTTTTGCAGCAAATATTTTTACACCACAAAATTATTTGTAGCAAGCGAGATCCAAGACAACGTATGCATTTTACTTCACTCCTGGCCTTATCTTATTATATTCGCATTTCAGGTGCTGTGCCTGCGACATTATCACAAAGTCATTCTCATACCTTGCCATCAACCAGAACGAGTAACATTTCATCCACCAGAGTAATTATTGTGAATCTCTCATTTCATTCATATTTAATGCACTATTTTTATCCGATGCGTTAAATAATAGTTCGAGAAAAAGAAGCAGATCTATAGTGAACAAATCGTTATAGGTGACATCTTTGCCACCTACGTTAACTTTACCATCTCTTCGGTCGTCTGTTATGCGTCTTAAGCGTTCGGGTGAGCAACTTTCTGCAGCTCAGTCTGCGGCCAATGCCTCAGAAAGTGGACCGAATATTCGGTTGCAGAAAATACGACGTGTTGAACGGAGTGCAGAAGCAACAACTTCAGATTCAACTTTTCGGCGTCATATGCAGTCAGCATTCTTTGACTTTGCATTCAGAAACCTAATAAAATATATCAAAATTTATTCTTCAGAACGCGAAATGACGACGGAAATACTTCGGATAATAGCAGACCAAATATAAATCCGGTGTTTTGCTGTGATTGTCGTAGTCGTTCAACTTACAATTGTCCTTTCCAGTCATGTGCATATCATCATCATCATCATATCTGTCCACGTCATCCTATTTGTTTTTGTAGTCGGAGAGAATCAAGTACTAGCCACAGGTAGGCTTTAAGTAATGGCCTTAAGCAACCTTACCAAGTCATTCATTAAATGAATGGTAAAGTTGTGCATTGAAAATCGAATAGAGTTTCAGTATCGCTCAGGCGAACATTTTAAAGAAACCTTCGTAATTTTGAGTTTATCCGCTATCATTTTTAGACGTGAAACTGATATCAATCCAGTCCATGATATGTTGCTTTCATCTCGATTTGCGCAGATCGAACGTCAACAACAGGCCAATAATTTGTGGTTTCAACGACAATCCATGTCAGCAAATAATTTGATTGGTGTTGATATTGTTCCTAGACGCGTACCAACTCAACCAATGGTTTTCTTACCACGTCATCAGCAGCAACCAATTATGGAGCTTGCCATGGTAGGTAGCATTGCTGTTCAGATGTATATTTTCATTCATTATGCAAGTTTTTTAATTCTTTGTTGCAAACGAATATATTGAAGGTTTTACTGCAATCTGAACCGAATGTCCTTCTGGGTAGCGCGCCTCATACTGCCGTTGACCCACTTCCAGTAGGGGCTACTCCTGATCAAATTCATCGTTTCTCAACGGTATACAGATATTTCAAAGAAAGCAATGTTCCGGAAAATGAGCAGGAACGCTGTACGGTGAGTACTTTAATCTTAGTACTTTCGCTTTTCTTTCATGGTCTTTAAATTAATTTTCGTCAATCTTTAGGTGTGTCTCAATAATTTTGAGATGAACGAGGAAGTTCGAGCCCTTCGCTGTAGTCATGTATTCCATGTAGTTTGCATTGATCGTTGGCTTGTGTATAACAAGAAATGTCCTGTCTGCCGTTTAGAGATGGATAAAACAAATGGATTGTCGTCCGTTTCTGTGTGATGTAATTGCAGTAAGTAAATGGAAATTTTTAATTGCTTCAAAAAATTTTAGTATTTTTTAAATTAATTCGCTTGTTTGCCGTATTTCATGTCAGTAAATTTCTTTCATTTACTTATGGATAATTTTTTTTGTGCATCTTTTTTTATGAAACGTGTAAAACTTGCATTCTCTGAATAGATGATCAAGAATGGTTTAGATCAGTCATTGTTTCTTCACTTAAGTTAAGGCTTGGCTTTTGTACCTAAGCTATATGTTTCCTCTTGGGAATTAGAGATATATGTTAATCAGCTTTTTTACATGTTTTCCTTATCCTTCCAGTTGTCTTTATTCAGATATCTCGGTGATGGTTTTTTATACGCATACATTTTCACATGTGAAATCGTTATTTTTTTCTCGTTTTCGGCATCAAATTGTTCTTTTAAATTTTTTCAAATAGTTTTTCGAGCAGTTTATTCACAGTATTCTCATTAAATAGTGGAATTCGATTTTGAGAACACTGCATTGTAAACATTTCCGAACACAGCTTTTACTCATTTTAATTCTAAATGACTTCGTTTTAGCATACTTCGCTTGGTCGTAAAAGGAGAGAAGATGAAGACATCAAAAGTCAATAAAAATTTTTCGAATAGTTTTATTGGGAGTAGAATGAAGATTTATTGTGAATTTAGTTGCTCATTTTCATTTTATGCAAGCCGTATAAATAAATGAATATATGAAAAAAAAATAGAACAGTTTTCAAAAAGATCATTCCTAATTTTGATAGCATGAAAGTTTGTGTTACTAACGTAGACATAGTTATGAGGGTGATAAGCAAGAGTTTTATTTATTTCATGACGCAGTAATGTGGTTCAGAACTTGTTTATATCATTTTCACACTACGCACTTAACTAGAAATACATCCAAAGGGTACTGTTTTATTTTAATAAGGACGTAGAGAATTTATCGAAGCAGGTGGAGAAGCTAATTGCTTATTTGCTGTATGTGCATGTATTCTAGAAATATCACGTGAATGCTTTCAGACCGGTTTTCGCTTTTCCGAAGTTCAGTATTATTTTTCTTCTTGCGTTATTTGACGCAAACATTACTTTAAAGGTGGTATTATTTTGTTTCGTCTGCTTTTTTCATCCTTTCTGATAGCAGAACTATTTCACATTCGCTTTCCATATTTTAACGTTAAATTCATACTAGCAATTTTGCTTGTTTGTGTATTTTTTTTCTTCTATTTTTACTGCTAGTGAAATAAACTTGCACCCTTTACTGAATTTCGTTTTATTACTCGAACAAGTAGTTGAATTTTATGTTATATCTTTTTGATTTGATGCTATTTTTTTCTGTCTATAATTTTAGAGAGAACTTTCAAGCATTGTTGTTGAAGGGCAGTGTGAAAGGAGAATGTAATGTTATGAAGATCCAAGAAATTGTTTTTCATGAAAAAAAGGCTATGAATGGACATTTTGTAGATTTAAATATTGAAGCTTATAAAAGTTGCAGATAGTAAATTCTATCGCCATTTTTTTTTGTTGTTGGCGTAAAAAAATATTTTTCTCTATTCACTTTCATTATCTGTAATAGTTATGTGAGTACTTTCTTCGTTTTTTATCGGAAAATTTTAAATTCTTCGGCACACGACGGTTTGGTGCAGTATTTAGTTCGCTATTTCTGAATAGTATTAATTTATGTAGTTTTAATGGTTTGAAGAGGTACTAAGTATCTGAAGTAATTAAGAAGCGATAACAAGTTGGTACTATTACTTTCTACTGATGTGATGAATTTACTGGAAAGAAATACGAAAGAGTGCTTCTTGCACACTAGCCTCAAAAGTTTAAAAGGTTGACAATTAGTTGAGACAGGATTAATTTGAAAGGAGAATATAGTTAGCAAACGTTAAACTTTTCATTATCAGTATGCGGTATCAGTTATTAGTGTCCTGCAGGCAATATTCTTTAGAACATTGGTCTAAACTAGCATTATTATATATATAGGCTGAAATGGTATCTTGCGATCCAATAATGTCAGCATTTAATAACATTTTAGTATCAGCACCGATGACTATATTATAGTTACAGAAATTATGCGTTTCATCTACTATTATTTGTCTCTGATAGTTCATGTCACTGTCAACAAAAAAATCTCTTTTTTTTTCGCATTTTTAAATGTGTCCATAAAAAGAGTTTTTTGCATCTTGCAAGATTTATGTAATTGATAAAAGTTGATCTTAGCAGATATTACTTGCAACTTTGAAATGGTTGGGATATGATTTCAGTTTAGAAAATTAATAAAACAATGCTACATGACAAGTATTCTGTAGATGAAGTAGAAGTGATCAGTTTGAGATATCATACTGCATTGTAGACTTTGTTGCATTCATTGAAAATTAATCTAGACATGTTGCGAGATTCTGAATATGCAGATTAAGCGCAGTATTTATAATCACTAAATGTAAAGTGGCTAATTGTTTGTTTAGTTATTTTTGCTACTTTTGATTTATTGGCTGAATAGCATATTATTGATATAATGAGATGAATATCATTACATCGATAGTACTATAAAGTTTTGCGGAAACAAATTTATAAATTACAATCTATTATCAGGTGTGATACTGCTGAATTCATCTTCATTCGATGTACTGCTGATGAATACATTTTGTTTCCGACAAGATTCAAATCTGCACTCTGCCTTCTATAAAAATCTTTAATGAAACTAATATCTAGTTATAAATTGGCGTAGAAGTACCTATTTTCTTCTAAAATTTTCGATTATAAGATGCAGCAGAAATGTGAAGAATGTGCACATTAATTATGCAAATATGAGGAAGATACGCATTCATAACTGTCTAGTAACATTCGCAAATAACTATAATGAGTTTTTACATTTATAAAATGTTTCCATGCCAACTCTTAATGAATATATTTGCAGAAAAAAAGTAAATAAATGTTTGCTTTATGTGTTTAGTATACATTTATCAAAAGCGAGCACTTGGAGACTACACTAAGCAATTAAATTTATTCGCTTCAAATATTCAGTATGATATATCAGCAGAAACAGTCATAGATTGCTTTAATCTAATACAATTTAAAAGTTTATACTTCAGGTCATCTATGCTTCTTTTCAAGCATATAATTTAGAAAGATATTATGACTATGAGTATATTTCAGAAAGCTGATAACAAATTAATGACTATAAAAATAATTGTTTAATAAATCATTGAATCATTCATAAATGATATATAGCAGGATTAAAATTGCTTGCTTGTGAGATGAGCATATTTGAGAAGAAGAATTTATCTATGAGCAAACAAAGCTAACAAATTTTTTACTCGAGAGTTAATGCTCCGTCACTCTCAAAACGTGTCCAGGGATTAAAATTCTTTTTGAAAAAAATGTGAAATAGATCAAAATAAATTTCGTTTTGAGCAGAAAAATATTGTTGACATTAGATTCAACCATATAAGGCTTTAACTTCTTTTTTGCTATTGTTGTAATAGTTGTTTTCTTCATTTGATTTTAGACTGAAATTTTTTTTGTCAATAGTTGACTTTGTTGTTGTATTTAAAATTAGCTCCATACATTAGCAGTTATAATGTTGAATTTACTACTAGCAGTAATAAATTTTACGTTGTAATAAAGATTATAAAGAAAAACAAAGATTATTTATGCTTATTCAGTTTTATTACTATAATTTTCATACTTTATACTTTTGGATCAAAAAATGGTTCATAATTGAGAAGTTTTGATGATAAGATTAACTAATTAAAAAATGATATGAAGTAACTAAGTGTTTGTTTAATTGTTTTTCTACTTTTAATAATAATTGCTTTTGCATTGTTTTCTTTTTTTTAAAAACAGAAAAATATTTTTTATAGTTATAATAATAATAATTTCAGAATTGTAATCATCAAATGAAATGGTAAATAAGCATTTTCATTCATTTCAGTAGTCGATATGGTAATAGCTTTTTTCAAATGCAAATAATAATTTATTCTGCTCTCTTTCCTCGAAGTTTTCATTCCAAGTTGATTTCTAAATTTTTATTTTTATTGAAAAAATAATGCAAAGAGCACCAGAGTGTATTTATTATTATACAAAATAAAAAGTTATACTTGAAATAAAACTAATAATCATCAAAGAAAATATTTTCACTTTCTTTATTGTCACAGATTTTTATGCCAACGAATTATCTGTGTCTTAGATAAAGTTTAAAATTTACTAGTCACTATTATTGATTAATGTAGAAAATACATAAAATTCACCGGTAAATATTATTGATTAATGTATAAAATACATATTAATTTCAAAAATATTTAATTAATAAAAAAGTAGGGTACTGTAGGTAATATTTTTTACTACTCATCTAGGAAAATATTTATGCTCTATAACTGTTTATTAATATTAATTTTAAGTTCAATGAAGACAATACTATGCTTTTAAGCTTTTAACAATTTATTTAAGACAAAACTGAATATTCTTTGATTCAATTTTTGTTTTAAATGAATGAATCAAGCAGAAGGACTAAAATTAATATTATCACTAACAATGGAACCGTAATAAGCAGCTGAATGAGTGAGTAATATTTATTTTAGTGAAAAAGTATGAAAGTTTTTTCTCTCTCAAGAAATATATATTCTCACTTACTTACTTACATAAAAGCCAGCAGTGAGGAGGAATGTATTTCTTACGAATTATTCATAAATTGAATACGAAAGAGTAAGTTTGAATCAGCGCTGAATCTCATCATACTTTTTGACCTATAATTCTGATTATTATTGATAAAAGTGAGTATCACATTCGTTCAACTTGTTTGATTTGCAATATTTTCATTGTTGGCATTTTAACTTGGCTATTTCTTTAATTGCTAATTTTGTCATTCAAATATTGACACATATTTTGTAGTATTTGAAAGTTTTTTACCAATTGAGCAAAATCGCAAATATTTGATGGAATTATAATTTCTAAGACATTAATACTTTTATGCAAATATGCTTGAATAAATTTTCTATAAAAAAATCATAATTTTTTCAAAAATTGTCGCAAATTGTTTTATCTAGAATAAATTTATGGCAAAGTGAACTTGATTTAATGATTATTTATGTTTATTCGTTTTTATTGAAAGAGATAAATTATTTGCTTGTTTACATAATAGTAGAAAAGTTTTTCAAACTCAACATAGATGATGATTATGATTATGATGATTATGATGAATGTTATAATTGTGATTATTAAAATATTTATTGAGAATTTTTATTTCAAATATCCGGATGGAAATTAATTTTTCATACTCGATGTATTTGTAAAATGTTGTAAAAATAATTATCACAGCTGATAATTTATTACTTAATTAATTTGTAAATGATAACGAATTATTATTATTGTATGAGTGAAAGAATGATTCATTTGAATACGTCTTTGTGCGTATTTCACTCTTTTGAGATATTCTTTAAATTGCATTTCAATGTATGTAGAAAGTGAGTAAAGAGAAGAATGCTAGCTCTAACAATCCCAAAACATTTGTGGTTGATGGATGGATGGATAGATGAATAGATGGATGAATGAATGAATGAATGAATGAATGAATGAATGAATGAATGAATGAATGAGTGAATGAATTAATGAATAGAAGGAATATTGTTTGCTTGCTTGCTTGCTTAGTGTTATTACTTCGTAGCCAAACTTGCTATTCTATACTTTTTTAATCGAATTTTTTTGCATATTTTAATAGTTTTCACTTCATACTTATGCATTTTTAATTTCAAATTTAAATCATTCATTTCTGATTAAATGTTGATCTTTGCAAGCAAATACCATTACTAATTACCTTTCTATCACACTATTATGCTATTCTTAATCTCTAAAATATTTCTTATTTACTAATAACGTTCAATTGTGTATTAATTTAGCAATATCACAAATTAATTAATTTGTTTTGCAAATAGATCTCATATTACTTAATTGATCACTAGCAAAGTTAGTCATTGAGTAGTCTGTCTGTAAGTAAGTCAATCATACACTCTTTCAGTTAATTGATTATTCAGTTGTACTTAGCACTTTGTCTTTGTCTCACAGATAAGATCATAACTTGTTCTATTACGGATAAATCAGAACAAATTGTAATTTATCAACAATTGGTTGTTGATAAAATTCAGTACATTCTCAAATGCAAGACTACTTAGCAAGTACAGATCAAGACTGATCTGACAAATTGGCTGGCTTCATTGCTTTTAGGTTAACAATGTTTTTTATTGACTGATAATTTTACACCGTAATATCAGCTAATTTCCAAGTAATTCTTAGCTTTCAAAAATTTCAACATATTAAATGAGTTAGAAAATCAGCCTATCAATGAAATAATTTGGCTTACCATTAAGCCTTATTAGGTTTATTTCAAGCAACATCTCATGAATCTATGTTACAGTCATCATCTGATTAGCATCCAACTTTTAACGATAGCGAATTGATTGCATACAAGCATCACTTCATCCGTGTTACTTTTCATTCTTTTTAACAGTATAATAATACTGTTCAACAGTATTTCCTTACACTGCGTTAAGATTTGGTCTTTCTGCTGACTTAATTAGTCAAATATTGTTAATGACAGTAACAAAAATAATAGGAACTTATATTAAGATAGATAAATCTCTCTAAACTAGCATAAAAGTAGTAACAGCATTATACGAACCTAATTTAGCCTGCTTTAAGTGAATCAGTATCTTTACTGATTAAATTCTATTAGAAGTGAAAAAGACTATGTGGGGTCATCGGAATCGACTGATCGATTGATTGGTTGGTTGATTGACACTTTAGGAAGAGTTAGAAAAGACTGAATCACACCCTCCAACTTTGACTTCACGATTAGACAAGCGAGAGCGCTGCTGCAGCTTTAATACTTTTACTTTCCTACTTGAACATACGTGCATCATTCTAACTTCTTACTCGTTATATTCCCTCACTTGTACACATCTTACGAATTCTACGTGTTTTGTTTGTACTTGTAAGCTTAAAAAAAGTACCTTACTTATTAAAAAAGAATCTTACGTTAATTAAATATAAAATTATTCGAAATCCCCAGGAAGTGTAAAAACTCACAAGACAATAACCATTACAGTATTAAAAAGATATAGAGATTTCCGGCCTGTCCTAATTGTACCACTCGGGAATGTTTTTGACTTCTCTCACAAAACTGTTTTTAAAACTTATCACGTATGTAAATTTTGTATTTAATTAATGGCGTAAGCGATATTTTAAAGAATTTCAAGGGAAAATTGGTCGTAAGATTGTTTGTTTAAAATTACATATTTAAAATGAGGTCAAAGTTAGATATTATCTCGGAATAAATTTACATGCAATGCAATGCCATCATCATATCTCTTTGCACGTTGTCGTATAAATGATGTCAAATTTGTAACATGCAATGATGAGATTGAAACTTTTGAAGTTGAATAAAATGTTCTAATTATTTCACTCAAAGTTTTTACTCTTGCAATAATGCATTCTTCAGATAAATTGTAATTTTATGACAGACTAGAAAATCAAACTGATAATGTTATGATAGAATCTCAAACTGACTCGGAAAGTGAAGTTAAGGAAGAGAAAAGTAAACTAAACGATAAAACAGGTATTTTTGTCTTTTCTTTTTTCACTGCAAATCTGGTTATTTTTTTATTTTCGTTGATCTGATTATTTTTTTCATCTGGTTGATACATCCAATCAATCAAATAATGACTGATAGTTCTCGTAATTTTTTCAGTGACTTTTTTAATTGTCATTTCATCTTCAATATAAAAGCATGATACTATTTTTTAGCTCTTTCCAGTTATAAACTTTTATTTTATTACATGCTATTATTGAGTATAATTTAAAAAATTTTTAAATGCACTATAATTCAAATTTTATTACTGTATGTAATAAAAAATATATAAACGTGATACAAAGGTTGTGCCGTTTTGGGTACTGAAGAGAGCATTGTCAAGGAAACAACTAACGTCGAGTTCAAACTTAACAACACTAACAACAAGTAAGTACAAACTTTTTTCTTTTTTTTCCAGCAGTTTGTATTCAATAGTTGTTACATATTCAAAGATTTGGAAACAATTTGTTTGCTGAAATTTAATATTGAAAACTCGTCTAAAAAAGGATTGTTGAGGGCTCGTTATGGTCGTAAGAAGCACTCCAGTCATGTCTTTGCTAGCTCGTTGAGGTCTGGGAAATTTTGGTTACGAGTTTTTCGGCCATGGAAGTGGCGAAAACGGCATCACAAAGAATGTCTAAGGTTTGTTAAGATTGTAAGAACTAGTATTTACAATAGTATGTTACTGTACAATATGTATTTACTAACAATTTTAATTAAGCTCAGAGGTCTAATTAGCTCTCAAGTTCTTTCATAAAGTTATTCATTATTGTAGTGTCACTTGAAGTTATATTTTAAAGACGATCTATCTGTAATTTAAAAAGAAAAGTTGGTTATTATGAAGGCATATTGTCTCATTAAATAATTATGAAGATGATTATGGGTACGTTGCTTAAGTACTGATGCTACTTCATACTTGGTAGCATCAGTACTTAAGCATCACTTAATAATAATGTCAAGCATTTGAGACAATTCTTTAGGCGAGTAACGAGTGATTTAAGGCAAGCAGCTTCTCCACCAACCGTAATGCCTTCTTCATTTAGTGCTTTGGAGCCGATTTCCACGGTAGCAGATATGGATGGTTAGTGTTGTCTTTTGGTGTTTTTAAAGATTTTTGTTAACAAGTTGATGGATGCTCAGTGTGGTCATAATATTATGTTTTTAAAAATTTATGCATAAACTTTGTTTTGTTGTTTTATCTGTTTACTCTTGCTTAATTTTTCTCCGCATTTGCTTCTAGCAAAATGTAAATAGAATTTGGGAAAAAAAAAGGCTTTTAACTGATATTTTATTGGTAATCAGTTCTTTTTTAGAGACTTATAGACCTGAAAAATGGGGTTCTTGCAATTTTTCCGTTGAAGAAGTGGATGACATTCATCTGCAACTATCGAAAGAGTAAGCTTGCTTTAATTTACAATTCAAAATGATGTATTATTGTTAAGGATGTAGTATTTTGATTTACATAGGAGGTGCAGCAGGTGGGAGATAAATCTTCTTTTCTGCCTTCTTGATTCTGGCATTGGATCGTGTTTCAGCACTCTCGCTGTATTTTCCGGGCACGCAATACTGCTGGTTCCGGTGTACTGGTCGAGTGCTTTCCCATATCCTTCACGTAGTTTTTTTCAACAACCTCACCTGTTTTTCATTTGTTTTCATTTATGATCCCAGGCTCATATTTTTGCGTTTACCCTCCATTTCCTGCTTTGTGATGCGATTCGGCTAGTTCAACCGCTCGGCAATTTTTCAGTATATACAATGGAAAGTTATAATCGAATAATTTTAAGACAAAGTTCTGCTGAAAATATTCTTCGTTTGACGGCTGAAGAAATGGTCGTGGCGCCGATACAAAAAGTAGTAATAATTGGACATAAGGAAGAATCTGCTAGTGATGGAGCAAATTCAAGTACTATGTTAGCCTTTACTGGCCACTTTGGGAAAGAAAGTTTGGAAAATTTTGAAGAAATGACTGATGCAACAGAAGGTCAGTTTTATAAATATAAATAAATAAATAAATATATATATATATATATATATATA